ACAAAGCAAGGACAGAAGCGATAGGTTGAGCGACCGCGGACAACGAGAAGCCGGGACTTGTCCGGCTGTCTTCGTCGCAACTAGACGTGCGTTCTCGGTATCACGTTTCGTGGAATAAAGCACATTTCTTGGTTTAAATTCTATAAGTTTCTCTGTTTCTCGTTAAATTTCTACTGATCCTTCATCCAGCCACGGTGCGTTCCTCGATTTTCGGAGAGCGATACGGATTAATTCCTCGCCGCTCAAAGGCGATTCCCAAACATAATAACAAATATATACTTTATTTAGAAGCTTTATTTAGAAACCCTAAAAATGAAAAAATTTAACTAACTTTTCAATTACTTTTTTTATTAACTTAACTTTTAACTCGATTAATTTTATTATGGATTAACTTGTATCTTAACTAAATTAAATTTTTAGACTGTTAACTTTAACTTAACTTAGTTAAAAAAATATATTAACTTAATACCCAACCCTAGCAATTACACGTTTTATTTGAAAACAACTATGTATACTTTCTTCACATCAATTAATTCATCTCATTCTGTACAGTCAAGGTATAGACACCAAAAATTGAAGTTTACGAGATATATTTATATTTTGTGTCAAAATGAGCCAGAATAAAATATAAAATATCTCATAAACTATTAATTTGATAACAATTCTAATACTTTTATATGCAAAATAACTAGAGGAATCATAATATGTAAAAAAAATCAACAATTTCATTTAAAAAACAAAGATAATCTTCAGATCTTCGAAATTCCTAGAAATTATTATCATAAGACGCGCAACCGCTTCTGTAATTTCTGTTAGTTAAATTTTTCTCTTACTCTTGTAGTTTGGAAGATATTTAATTTTCATTTAAATTTCTAATTAAGATTTAAAAAAAAACAATAATATAATCTAAAACATTCTAAGTTAATTTTAAGTAAATTTTATACTCTGAAAATATTTTTATAAAAAGCTAAATACATTTCCATTAAAATACAATTGTATTTTAAAACCAATGATTTATTTTTTATATAAATTATGGCTTGTGTTATTAGATTATATTGTAAATTATTGTTATTTGAGTATTATAAGTATATTTTAATATTATGAATGTATATATTAAACCGCATTTTTTATTTTACTCAATCACAGAGAAATTCGAAAACTTTATAACTATACGAATAATCGAAAGACAAGTGATATATACTTGTACCGCTTTTAAGCATCTCTTTCGCTCCTTCGAGAGCTCGGCAAAAGGATTCCTTCTTCGAACAAGCTTCTTCGTCCTTTGCGAGGACAGAGTCTCCAACTAAAAATCCCGACCAGTCCGCAAGTCGTTGACCCTGATGGCAGTCGCTCTCGCTCTCGCCAATTCACTCTCGCTATCGTTTCACCCACTCCCATCAACAGACACTATCTCGGGGGTGAAAAGAATACCCGTGTCGGTCTCGCGATTCTCAATAAAGAATTCTGAACTTGATCGCGAAAAGTAGCGGAAGAAGAAACGAGAGAAGTGGCGAAGCGTGAAGCATTACGTGGCAAACATTCCTCTTGGACTTTACAAAGTAAACTAGAATTTGTTTACCCCGTACGTTTTCCGCATGTGTATTATGACTTTATTAATAACAAATACAATTTAAATTGAAAAAGAGATATATCAAAAGTACTTTTTAAATGCTAAATTTAAAATGAAAATTTATTTTTAATTATAAATTGGTGATCAGTATGAATAATTATACTTATAATTGATTGTGAATTTCATTACTAATATAATTATTTGTATTTTATTATTTGATTAGTCGCACAACCGCGCACCAAACTCGTACTGGCTACTGAAATCTTTTACAATAGAAAAATTTAATTTTAATATGAAATCTAATCGAGACCACGAAATTTCAACGATGAGTTTTAGAAACGTCAAAAGCGGATTTTGATGCTTAATAATAATATTTAATATTTTATAAGTATTAAATTGAGGGTTAGTGCTTAATTACATATTTCGAGTATTTGAGTACCCATTCAAAGCACTAATAATAGTGCTTTTAATACTAAAAAATAAGTAATTAATCACTAACCAATTTAATACTTACAATATTAAATTTCTTTAAGGATTGTAATTATATGTGTTTACTAATTATATGTATTTTTTACAAGAACAAGTTTATATTTCTTATCAATATTTTCATATTGAAAAATAAAGTTTTCCATGGTACGATTTAAACAAATTTGTTTAAATCGTGCCATGGAAAACTTTATTTTTCAATATGAAAATATTGATAAGAAATATAAACTTGTTCTTGTAAAAAAATTTTTAAGATTATTAACGGAAGCAAAATGTCACTAAATAACAATAAACCGATATATTAAGGATAGTATTGCCATGCATTTGTATTCAGATTTTACAAGAATCACAGATTTACGTGTTTTATCATGTTATCGGACAGGCATTTCAATTTGATGAATTCGGAGAAGTAACCCTCTGCATACAAATCTCTTCTAAACTTTCACGTTCTTCCTCCCTAGTCAACGTCCTAAACGATAATAACAGAAACAGCCTGTGTATATCCCAAGGCGAATCCGAATATATTTACTCCCTCACTCAGAAGGGAATACCAAAGCGGTTGCAGGAATCCCGGCATTCAGAAGGAGAAAGAAGAGAGATCTTGCGAAAGGCACGTCTTAAACGACGCTCCCACGCGTATAAGTCACTGCCGTTGGCGAGCGATATTTAACGCGCATCCGTCGTCCCGTCGTAGCTACAGTGAGATTAATAACTGCTTTTCCTCGCGCGCGGCGCGGCGCCCGTTTGTCTCCGTAACTGTCGGGCCGTTACTTACTCCCGTGCGTAATAAAGCGTATTCACCGCGATTGATGGGCTCACGTATCGATGAGACCAGTGAAAATTAATTAAACGGTTCTCCAAAGGTGACCTAATCGCATCCGCTTAATGGCCTGATGTCGCTATTAAAACGGTCTTAAACGCGATCGAGTGCTCGTTTAATACCGGCGGCTGTAATAATTAGCGTCTCGTTTAATACCGGCGGCCGTATTAATTAGCGTCTTAGCAAGAACGATTGCGTGCGCGGGCCAGCGATAAAAAAGTGTGAGAGTGATTGCGATTTAATACATTTTTTGATTATCAAATTATATATCCATGAATTTTCTTTTAATTTGTCTACATCGAGAAAGAGTGTAATATTTAATAGATTTCATTTTCGTGTTCCTTTATTCTTTGTAATTTCTAAAAACTTATTTATCATTTAATCTTTCAATTGTAAATATACAATACAAGTATATATCTTTATTAACAAGATATTTTGCAAGTAAAATATTTACAAGCAAAAATTTTAAGCAAATATAATCGTAATTTATAATATCTATGTAGTTAAAAATATCTTCTATATTTAAAAAAAGATTATATACAATTTATGATAGTTTATGTAGACGTAAACTATTACATTGTTTGCACGTGGAAATGTTGCTTCAGAATTCAAGTAGATGCAAGAGGCGTCCGCGGCTTTATCCCAGAGCCAGACGTGATTTATTGATGGGATTTCACGGTTGCGATAGACGGCGCTAAACATGTCGTGATAAGAATAAGGAGAAAAGGGAAAGAATGAAGTAAAATAGTACGAAGCGTCGTATTCGTTAACGCGTGATGCGTTTCTCGAGAATTCTTTCGGATACCGTGACTATACCATAAATCATATTTAAGAAGCGATGGATGACAATGCGTAAACCTTATTGGCTCCGCGTGGTCGAATATCTAGGATATGGCAATAGCTTACTTAGCAGATACAACAGTATACCGCGAGTCGCATAAGGAAATATACGAAGTCGCCGGATATTTAATCCATTTACGCAGGCTAGAAATGTATTATTAGATAAAAATTGTAGCCCATTCACTCACAGTGGTAAAAGAGATAGTATTAGAGGCAAATGGAATTAAAAAGAAGAGGAAAAATATGTTGTATATAAAGAGACAGAGAGAGAGAAAGAGAGAGAGAGAGAGAGAGAGAGAGAAAATGAATTTGATGCTAAAAAATAATTTCAATTAAGTATTAAACGCATCCCGAGGTATTTATTTTCACATTATTCCCAAGCACTTATGATGAAACGACACCCAAAAACAGTGAGCCAATCGATGCGAAGAACAAACACATTTCCCGTCGTCACATCGCCAATCGTGACTTATCCCCCGATCGTAAAGTATCGGTTACGGGTTACGGAAAAGATTCGTCGGATTCTATTGCCGGGCACTACATATACGTAGCCCGCAAAGCAAATCCATTTTACTACCGACTTGTCGCCCGGAAATCCACACGGAAAATGCATCGCCGCGAATCAATCGTCTCTCGCCAGACGTCGTTCAACGTTCGTCAGACAAATACGCGAAAAACGGATAGGCTTGTATCAACTTTAAGTTAGATAAACAAAAAATAACGAAATGAAATAGATAGTAAGGGACAGAGGAAAGTGGCAAAGGACAGTATGCCAGACGAAATGAGAAACGGGCGCCAGTCGAAGTATCTCTTGTTATCTACGACGCGCGTAACGAAGATCGAAACCATTTTGGAATAGCCATGCGTGATTTGACTTTTTTTATTACGGGGTAGATTGCGAGCGATATACGCGAGAGTTATACCTCCTTCGGGACTCCGTCGATCAACGCAGCAGCGCCGCCGGCGTTTCCGTAAAAAAGTTAATAATAACTTCGCGATGAGACTTCCTATATCGTACAGACATATTTTTTCGCGAAATTAATTCACATTGTATGGATAAATACATAGACGGGTATCCATATTCCCGTAACGATAAGCATCTCAAATGTTGCAGTATTATTAGGTAGTACTGAACGCACGGATCGTACGGAATGTATAATTACAGTTGCCATCCTTCCCATAATCATACTCTTTAGGCTATTTTATCTGGAAATGTTATCTACGTGTTGCACGATTAAGCAAAGTTTGCGCAAAATGTCCACACGATATTTTTCCATTTTATAGGATGGCTCGGGGCAATGTCGACGGGTGTCGCCCTGCTCGTGTCGCCGGTTACGATAGCATTTTGCCGAAGAAAAAGTACGAGAGTAACGGCAGTTTTGGGCGGCCTCGTTACCGCCCTCGGCTGCCTCTTCACTTCTTTTGCCTCGCAATTTCATCAATTGTTCTTCAGCTACGGCACCGTAGTCGGTAAGTAAATTTGTGTAATGCTGTAATTTCAGAGAGCTATTTGCAATTTAAGCATATTATAAATTTGTAATTATAAGTTATTCCTGCGTAAGACGTGTAGGCGACGCGAAGATATTGAGATTTTTAACAAACAATTGACAATGAAAAATCTCTTCCTTTTCTGAATCACTTGATATTAAATTGTTTAATTGTTTGATATTAATTGTTACAATTTACAAGTTGTTAATTTTGATCATTGCGATAACACATAATTATAAGTAATAATAATGACATCGTAATAAACTATGACACCTGGCAATACTGTGACATCTGCTAGGAAAAAATATACGTTGCAATTCGTGCGGCGCCACATTGTCAAAATGTTTGGTTATTATTATTTTAGCTGCGCGTCATCTTTCTTTGTCATCTTCTACATCTATATTCGTATACTAATATTGGTACTAGTTCCATCCATTTCCACCCTAACTTTCCCTTCTCATGCGGAACTTTGCGAGAGTCAACTACAAGCATCAATTTCGAAAGCGCAGAATAGTCGGCGAAAGGAACGATATTGTTATCCGATCCTATGAGCAAACTAAAGATAGTCACAACGATTTGAGTCATCAGTATATTTTTTCCCATAGGGATTGGGGTTGGAATGACGCGAGACTGCAGTACGCTGATGGTGGCTCAGTATTTCAAGAGGAAGAGGGAATTGGTTGAAATTTTTATTGTCTCAGGAAGTGGCTTGGGTATAGCAGTCATGTCTGCTTTTATAAAAGGAATGATCACGTACGTATATACATTAAGCTGTAATAGCTATCGTCAAGAATTTATTTCAATGAACTCCACGATACGAACGAACGAATAAAATTTAAAAGAACACGAAATTTATTACGCTACTTAAGCTTCAAAATCGTAACAAAAAGATGTTATCTCTAAAAACGTTCTTAATTATTGTTAAAAGTGAAATAAAACGATAATAGATTAATTTTTTATTCAGTTTAGAATTATTACGTAATCGTCTAAATTGAAATCAATAAAACGATTTAAAAAATATATACACGATATACGCATGGAAAGAACGATTTTGCTGGAAGAGCAAAAAATTTAGATCTAAAAATGATTTTATTAGATCATCAAAATAATTTTGTTGGAAACTCAAAAATGATAAGCATTGCTGTAAAACGTTTTGATATTCTAGTAATTAGTTTGACTTTCCAACAAAATTATTTTGATGGTCCAACAAGAATTATTTTCAGATCTGTATCCAACAAATTTTTTAGACCTTTCAGTAAAATCGTTCTTTTCGTGTGGTAGTTATGTTATCGTTATTTCACGAATACGCATTCACGTTTCTTTTTATCTAAAATTATTGCGATTAATCATTAAAATTATATATACTAATTATAACATCGTAAAGAAATCAAAGCTCATATAGAGGCTCTTTTATTACAGTAAAATCGGATGGCGACTTGGCCTTCAAGCTGTCACCGGGGTGGTCTTTCTCACCTTCATTCTTGGCACATTTTACCGTAGCGCTTCGCTATATCATCCTCAGCGAAGAGCAATCTTACATTTGAAGAATCAAAAGCGCAAGATAAAGGACAAAAACAAAACCGCTAATAAACCACCGTTTTTCGATTTTAGCACTTTGAAAAGTAAAACAGTGCGAATTCTCTTGGTATCTACCGGTATTTCAGCATTCGGAATCAACACCCCGATATTTTATCTGGTAATTATGACGAATAAATTTAGAAGTAGTGACATACTTATTCCATCTGTATTCAACGTTTTTCTATTTAATAAACAATCGCGTAAAACAAATTTCCTATATTGGCGCAAAGAATATTTTGAAGCTTTCAAACTGATACAAACATATGCAAAATTCCATCAAAATCGTCCATCTAGATTTCATAAATATAATTAATATAAATTAAACATAATTTAAAAGTACAGTATTGTTTTCTTTTAATAGTTATGTGTAGCTGTCTAAAAGCAATACAGTAATATTAAACGGTTATTTAAAATGATAAAAATTCATAATTTGCTATAGTTTGAACAGAACAAAAATTAATATTTAATATATACTGATTTGTTTTCTCAAGGCTAGTCACATAAACGATAAATATTAAAATCCGTCGCGCATGTATTGGAAATGCATGAAATAAACGATTTTTTTTATGCAGGCGCATCAAGTGGAAGAGGAAGGTCTCGGTGATACTGTCGTCCTGCTGCAGGCTTATCTCGGGTTGGCTTGGACTCTTGGTTGTGTAGCTTTCGGGCTTTTGGTCGTGCATCGCAGCGTTGAATGCAGAATAGCTCGTCAGTATCTTACACAAGCAGCCGTCTTTGTGTGCGGACTCTGCATTCTCGCTCTTACCGCCGTTCAAGGAAATTACCACGGATACGTTATGTTCGCGTGGATTTACGGTAAAGTCTCATTTATTATCGCTGAATTGAATAATAATGAACTCTCTTATTCTAATAGACTCCGATAGAGAAAATAATTTTAATATAGAGAAAATATTATTAAAAATTTGTATTTAACAAAAATTTATCATTATATAATTTCTGCCAATCACTGCATATGTTGTTTTTAACATATGATAGTATTACATTATAATATGTGTACAATCGGTGATTCAACGCCAAATTAGTCACCATAGTATAAAAGAGAAGAGTAATATATAAGAATTTAATAGCTCAAGTAATCCGCCTTTTTTCCGTCTCCGGCAATAAAAAATTTTAAGACCACATTACGAGCAATAAAAAAACACACAATTTGTCTATAGGCATCTTCTGCGGTGGCTATCATTACAGTCTGAAGATGTATACGTACGAAAGAGTAAGAGCGCGGAACTTCGCCAGAACGTGGGGTTTCGTCCAATGTTCCCAAGCGATACCAATTGCAATCGGAGTACCAATATCGGGTAATAAAAAAATCTAACATAGCACACTTGTGTCTCAATATGTATAAATTATTGTGATATAAAAATTTATTGGAAACAATTTATGGTCTCATTTGATCACTTTAATCATTAATGAAGTGTTTCACTTTTAACAAAATTTTCAAAAAATAGAATTTTGAAATATCAGAAACATACATACAATTCTGTTCCTCAATGAGAATCCTAGAACGTGACTGAAGAGTATTTAATGTCGGACGTATTTTGCAGGATATATAAATGTGGGTTGCGGTGGTAAGGCTGGCTACTACTTCAGCTCGACATGCGTCCTGGTTGGCAGTTTTACGCTCTTCTTCATTGATTTACATAGAAGGAATTTATCGAAACATAAACACACGAGAGCTAATGGTAAAAAACACACGTGCGCCTCGGACAGCTGTCCTCAACGGCGAAAATTGTCGTTCAGTCAGGATCCCAAGAACGAGGGACCTTACGTAGCCGCTGCTGGAGCAGCAGGAGCGACGGCTGCGGCACTCGTACTCGGGACCAACATTGCTCCAGCACAAGGTATATTTTCCCTCTTTTGTTTTTACAATTTTTATAATAAATGAAAAGAAGAAAAATCTAAAAGAGAGAAAGAGAGAGAAAAAGCATACAAAAAATCCTCGTTAAATATCATTTCGTTGTTCACAATAACATATTTTATAAATCTGCATCCTCACATTATCTCAAATTTTAATCATGATATTATTACTTTTAATTCTACTTTTTTATCGTTTTTTAAAGGATTTACCTTTGCTACATCTGACTCTTTCTTACTCTTCATATATATTCAATTTTAATAGAAAGATAAATTAATATTTTCATTGATATTTTCATTCGTTTGTATTCATATCAAACGAGGCATATTGTAAAGTACAAAATAAAATTTTATGCAGTATAGTAATGATATTATAGACGCATAGAGTACTCAACACAGCTATTGTCTATTGTCGTAGGCGAAGGGATAGATGCCTTAGGAACAGATAAGCCGGAACTCACGTGCATCTCGGAGGAGGGTATCGCCGACATGGATTTACCCGACAATTTACTGGACTTCGATTACATAGGCGATTGTATAACTTCGTGCAACAAGGTCGAGAACTACCTTATGCTCTCGGAATTCGAGAACAATCTGATTGCTGAGATGCCAATTATAATGGATCGTCGTGGACGCAGATGGTCCCTGGGACGATCCAAGACGAACCAATCCAATTGCGGTCAGACTAGTGGCGTTCAATCAACAACTAATGAAGAAGAAGTCAAATCGAAATGGCGTTTCACGAATGTACCGCCCAATGCTAACACCAGAATGATCACCGTTATTGACGAGGCCAGTGCATAAATCTAAGCACGGATTATGGAACGTCATTAACCCTAAACTTGGCAGATTAAAAAATAATTACGTGTGAGTTAATGTAAAAAAAAAATAAATAATAAAGCAATATGCAAAATACGAAACTTTTAGCATATTTTTAATATAATTTTTTAACTACAATATGAAATTTAAATTAATACGATTTTAAAATAAAAACCGTGTATATAATTTTTACAAATTTTAAAAAAATTAAATACATTTTAACTATAAACATAAAACATTACAATTCTAAACAATGCGGAACAAAAATACGTTGTTAAGTGCATTGCCAAGTATAAGGTTGAAGGAAATCCATTACAATCCGTCAAATTTTCATAAATGTCGAACGTTTAGAAAACAGCTAGCATTTTCAGACGTCCGAGAAACATAAACTGAAATTGTATATCAGATTTATTGAACGTCAAATTTTTTAATCGCAGTTTGATATTAGACATACACACCTCCTATTAAACTTTTAGAATAATCAAAGAGAAAAATTGCGGAAAGTTAAAAAAAAAGACCAGCGGGATATGAAATACTGACTGAAATATTCCAGCCGTATATATATATAATCTATTAATATTTAATTGTAAGTTGTTAGAGTTATACCCTCAATTGTTCATTCTATTTAAGTATTTGTAGAAGTTATGTTAGCTACAAATAGCAGACAGTGACATGCTTATTTGCATGACTTACATATGTATAACAGTTCGCTGAGAACGTAATCCAATAACACGGGTCATTTGATTCGTGATGCAATTAAGGACAATAACGTCGGCTTTCGACAAGAGGAACCACGGAAACGCTCCGTCCAGCAAAAAAAAAAAACAACCTCGATTCACGTCGGCGTATTTTTTTAATTTCCGAGATTTCTATTAATTGTTCGAGATAAAAAAATAATCCATCATTATTATATTACTAAGTTAACTTATTAATGGCATTATATGCCTTCGAAGAATAGGAAGTCTACTAGTTACACGAATGAAATGGTAAGCTCAGATTCTTGGTACAAATATTGCGATATACAATGATTGTTATCGACTGATAAGGCAGCTAAAGATACAATCGTAGTGAGCATGATATTGACCTTTTTAAATCAATTTGAATAATTGATTTAAAACTTGATCATTTGACATTTTTTAATTTAACCATTTTTTATCTATTTACATATTTATCTACATCTGTATTTCTATGAGAGAGAGAATTGAGTCCATCTGTAATTTAATTTACCGATTTACTTATCAAAATGTAATAAAAAAGAAAGATAAAAAATATATTTTATCAGGTATTTTATTAGACTTTTAGATCTTAATTGTTGATTTTTATAAATCAAAATATGTACCTTCGGCTACGATTGTAAGAATAAATAAGAACTGACTGCAAATGTATGAAAAATGTGTATGCTTGTATGTAGACACGCTAGTTTAAGATTTGGAAACTAGTCCGATCGCATTTGAGACATGATGCGTCGTGAATATATAAATACAAGATGCATGTATAAGTGTACATTATTCACGACGTTCTCTTACTTTTGGGACTCGTGTCTCATAACGAGATGCGCCGATTGACTCCAGATATATAACAATGCGCATCTATTTATTTATCAAACTATTTATATTAGTATGTAAATACTCGATATTGCCATGTACACTGACATAATTTTAAATGTATATTTTAAATTAAATGTCGATGATTAAATATATAATTATCGGCATAGATTATTATAATGTCTATAAAAACTCGCGTCTTTCACTGATTAATGCGAGAAAGATAAATTATGTCTTTTGTTGAAATAATAATGTTATAACTTTATCGAATATATGAACGGGAAGATTGCTTATAATTTAAACAGTAAGAATAAAGCATCAAAGTATGAAATTCGTAAATATTCGCGGGTATTAATTATTTAATTGAAAGAAACAAACGTTTAAGCAATAAGAATAATGGATATTTAAGATACGCTTATTTATGAAACGTGTAATTTTTTTAGAATTCAATTAATGTAAAAATTAATAACATAAAAAATTAACACCGTAAAAGACAATGCAAAATTCGCCGAACAAGAAATTTTATATTCATTTTGAATTATAAATGTCTTTTCCTTCTCAAACTGCCAATAATCATATAAAACTCACTTAAAAAATTAAGAAACAGGGCAATGAAAAAGTTAACTGTAATAACTGTATAAAAATAAGAGTAACAATATGATTATTTCTTCTATGGTTTCAATATGTAAACTGCCAAGTCAAGAACATTGTATTAAGTTTATTCTGAGAATTCGGTTTACAACAAAAAAAACCTGTCTCCTCTATAGATACGGAGAAAATCACTTAACAAAAATGATTATTATCAAACTTGTTCATAGTGAGGAGCGAATCCATAAATATATTCTAGCGACAGAAGTAACATCGAACAAAAATTGCGGAACATACTGTATTGTCGTAATGTTGTTGATATAAAAATGTGATTCTCAAATACGTAACTCTTGTACACGCGTTATTTCATTCCTTCATATCCTAACTCTTAACTTCAAATGGACGTTTTATCAGCATAGAACAGCCGTAGCCCGATAATAGACGCAATTTGAAATTGGGTTGAATTAGAAAGGAATAGCCCTATTACCATTCCAATAAACGTGATATCGATAGCGTTGCGTTAATTACGAATTCCTAGGCCACCTACTAGTATCAAACGAGGCGTGTATTACGTCGCGCACGGCTCGTTACGTTTAATTTAGCAACGATCAAAGAATTGTATCTCCGAATCATCGATCGAACGACGATTCAATTCTGCTTCTACAAAATAAAAATTCCGAAATACTCATTTAAAAAATAAAAATGAATAATTAACTTAATAAAAAAAAATTCAAAGTGATAAAATAATACTTTAATGTAAGAAGCATTAAGTTTCTTAAATTACAAGTTTTTAGATATTCAACAGATATGATCTTATATACTTATACATTACTCTTTAAATGCATTTACGTACCTTTCTTGAAATGTTCAATAATTAACTAAATAATTCAACTAATTCGATAAAAATAACTAACTTAAAACGTCATTTCTCCTTTAATTAATGATAATTAAAATAAGATAATTTTGTCCGAATTATCATCTCGTTTTAATTTAAACAACAAACGTTATTGGTCATTTATTATTTGTAAAAAAATTCTCGTGAAAGTACATTAAAAAATAAATTAAATTCCACGCAAACACATATATATCATATATAATATTGCGTCTCACGTTAATTAGCACGCAATTGTGTGCGTGGTGATTGGTACGGTGCAAACGATAAGACATAGCACCGCAACGGACAGTCGTTACAAGACGCCTCACGCTCAAATGTCTCCGTGGCCTGAATTGTGACGGTATATTCGTAGAAAAAAAGTCGTAAGACTACGTAAAATCCTCAAGGTAAGCACCAATATTCTTTCTACAATAGTAGAATTTAATCGCTAAAGGTGATCGTTTTTTTATCTCTCTCTCTTCCTTTCATTCTCTATGCTCTTAAAATAGATTATATTTCTTATTTCAACAAAATTTAATATAGTAAAGTTTTGTTAAAAATTTAATCAAACGATCGCTTGAATATTTCACTAATATGGCCAATTCAATATAACAAACTTTTAATACTTCATATAATGATTTTATTGAATTGATTATAAAAAAACATGAGATCTATTTATAAAATCTATTTCCTCTTTTCGTAGTTGTCGCATTTATATAGTATATCTTCATGTATTTATTAGCACTTCGGTATAGTTAGAGAATATAATTTCCTATCCTCAACGTCATCAATCGATATCGTGGAACGAACATTATAAATCACACGGAGAGTCCTGCAGCCCGAGGTCCTCTGGGTCATCTTGACTAGATCCTTTATGAACTCAGCGTGTCACTTCAATCCCTCTTTCAATCAATCCAATCGCTCGCGTCTCTTCATCATCCTTCTCACCGTTTAATCCATCAATCACACTGAGTTATCGCCACCGTAATATATCTAACGGAGAATGTATCCAAGCGCGAGTGTAGAAAGCATCGAACCATATAATAATAACACGAGATAAAAACGACGGAATCTTGCAGCACTGAGGACAAGAATGGCGTATGGAAAACTGCACGTACTACCGTTGAGTCTCTTCATCTTAATCCTCGTGACGTTTGTGATTACGTAAGTTTGTAATTTTTTAACGATGAATTTTTTGTACGATAGATGAAATTATTATAAAAGGTATTTATATTACGACAAATATACACTGGTCAACAAAACAACCGCATAGGTAAATTTATATCAAAATTTCGCATAACTTTACACTGAGGAAAAAAAGTGTAAAATCAAATGAATATCTCTTGATTCAACTATACTTGGCGGTTACGGGCTTTTGAATCTACCTTTCCTCGCACCTGTCATCTTTTGAAAAGTAAAGACATGTTACGTCTCCAAAAAAATTGCATAATTTGATGAACTCTACGGGGCGGGATGAATTTTTGTCATAAATATCATGATAACCATCGTAAAGTTTGAACTTTTTCCTACAAATTTAAAAAAAAAAAGAAACTTCATACGTTTTTCTTTCATGAAGTTACGACATGTCGAAGTTATCACTATAATTACTGCCAGCATTAGCATTATCGGCATTATCTGTCTAGTGTGCACGGGGAAGACCCAAGTCGAATTTTGCGCATTATATATATGTGTATGTGTATATTATGCACGCGAGGCGAAGCACATGGATACGTTTGCATTTCAAAATTGCGTATTTTCTCCACCAAGTCCAGATTTAAATCCCATCAAACACACACACATACAATGCACAAAATTCGACCAGCAAGTTCCCTGTAGTGCGCACTAGACAGATAATACTGGCAATATTTAAACAAAAATGCAATGATAACTTTGACATGCCGTAACTCCGCAAAAAAAACGTATGAAAATTCATTTTTTTTCTCAAATTTGTAAGAAAAAGTCCAAACTTTATGATGGTTACCATGACATTTGCGAAAAAAATTCATTCCGCTCCGCAGAATGCCTCAAATTATGCAATTTTTTTGGAGACGTAACATGTCTTTACTTTTCAAACAATAACGGGTAGGAGGAAAGATAGATTAAAAATCTATCGGAAGCATCTTTAAGTACAGGTTTTACCCTTAACAATAAAAAAAAAACTTTTCGATACGACCATTTTTCGCGGAGTTACGATTGTTTAAAGTTATGCGAAATTTTGATATAAATTTACCTGCGTTAATTTTGTTGACCAGTATACTTTCCAGCGTAAATAAAAATGTAGAATGTTACATTCTTTTATTTTCTTATAAGAAATTCTAATTTTTAATATCCTTTTTGTGCATTCAATCAATTATTTTTTTTCAAAACAAATCACCAAACGTGAAATTATCTACATAGAATTCGTGACTGTGATTCAATCATTATTGATAATGAGCATAGCAAAAAAGTCAGTAAAAATACTTGTTTTAATTTATTCTTAAAATCTTGAAAACAGAGTGAGCGAGTAGAATTTGCTTGGTTTATTAAGTCAAAAATAAAACGACTTAATACTGTTTTATCCTACTTTATATAAATAATTTTTAATGTTACTCTTTCTTAAGATTAAATAATCAACTCTGATGTCGGAACATCCGCGATGAAACGTAATAGCATTAAAATATATCTGAAGACAAAAATCTGCTTCTTATTCGTCTATTACTGAAACAACAAATTCTTTACATGGACATATACGTGTGTATACATATGTATATACATATAATTTAAAGGGCTTCAAAAATGAATCTATATTTTAATATCCATGTCCACTTAAATAAATAAATAAATTGTAAATATGTGTATGTAAGTAATTGATAGGAAATAAGAGAAAAATGTTATATTTTGCACTGTTTTTCTTTAATATTCTTTTAGGTAGCAAAGTACATTGTAGAATTATTTAACGATTAAGAGCTTTGCAAGCAGCCGAGAGTAGGAAACCTGAAGCGTTTTATATACTCGCTCACGCCACTCGAGTTTATAGTTTACGAACGGCTCATGTTTCAGATACACTATATCGGTGCAATGGGATCATGTGGTGCCAGGGTTCCCTTATATATCGGAGACCGGCGCATTCTCACCAGAATCCTGCATATTCACGCAATGCTTGAATATTGCAGCTCTTTTACGTATGCAAACATTCAAAGAAACTCACGAATTAAATTAAATATATTTAGCTCATAAAGATTAAGAGAGAAAATCTAAGTCATCTTAAAATAATATGAATAATATAAATAAGTTATATAAATGAAAATGTCGGAAAAAGAAATTTACAAATAAATTAATTATTATATACAAATATATAAAAAAAGCCAAAAAAAGAAGAATTCAGAAAAAGTATATTTAAGCAATACCTACAAAATCTAAAACACAAGAATAATTTAAATGTGTTTAATAAAATTTCAGATTTAAATATGTATTTAAAATTTAAAATTTTCAAATTTATTAATTTAATAAAATCAATAAATAGAACAAATAATATAAATAAAATAATATACAGAAAGAGAACAAATAGCATAGTAAAAATGTAAAAGACAGGAAACAATAATGACTTAAAAAAGTTTTGCTCGAACGCAAAAAGAATTCAATCTGCATCTTTCACACAGTCGGATGCTGCATTTACATCAGGCATCGACAAGTATTGCAATGGCATACAGAAAGAGGCTTCGATCTCGTAAACAAAAGAGTTATCGTTGCAGCAACATGCTGCGGTATCCTCGCTTGCTTCGGTCTCGATATACTCGCCAATTTTCAAGATACCCGCGTAGCCGCCGCTCATATGATGGGAGCGATAATTTGCTTCTTAGCCGGCACGCTCTATTTCTGTCTTCAGGTACACCGTGATGTGAATCATTCGTGAACGTTTCAATGTCAGAGACAGTATTAATTTATTGATGATATTGCAGTTCATTCTATTGGCACAGAGCCAATTGAACATTTAACTTTAAAGCAATGTCAGAGTGGCTTTCTTTCAGGCTCTCAACTTTCAACACTCGAAAGTCTTTCTTACATTTCCTATAATCTTTTAATTTTTATTTTACTATTACATTTTATTAATTTATTATTATATTTTTTATTTTTAGTTTAATTCTTTATATTTCTTTTATTTGTAAAAAATTGGTTCAAGGTTAGTTCTATTCTGGTCCATTTAATCAATTTGCGCACGGAAAAAAATGACTTAAGTAGTATTAGATATCAGCTAAATATCAATAGCTAGTTCGAATTTTTCTGTCATTATTAAAAGTTAGTTATTAAAGATAAAATGTACTTGTTGCGAGATACAATTTTATTAGCTAAAATAAAAGCATACTTTAACAGGAGTAGTTAAGAAAGTAGCATACGGAAAAAATGATTTTGCTGGATATTCCTCAATAGAATTAGCTAAACGTCATTTGATTCTAGCAGCAAATATTTTTTACTGTAGCACTTAAATTTTAACAACTAATAAATTGAGCTTCGGCAGTAACGATATTAGCTGTTCCTATTTTAAAGACACGTATTAGCTGTTTTGGCTATATTTTAGTTGTGCTGACTAATCCTTTTTCTGCGTGCACAGTCTTGATATTACACTTTGAAGAAATAAATTTAACTATAGGTACCTACTTGGACAGCTTTTATATAAAAGAAATAATTTTATATATTATACTGTCACAGAATAATTTTTATAAAGAAATTATCTTTTTAGACATATCTGAGCTATAAGATGGTTCCAGTTGTGAATGGCATAAGTATCGTTTATTTGCGTGCAATTCTCTCGGCTCTAACATTGATTTTGACGATCGCTGTGTTTGTTACTGGCCATATCTCAGTATCTGAATTTCAAGGTATGTAAATATATATATATATATATATTTTTTTTAATTATACCTTTTATAACATGTAGCTTGTATAGCTATAATCTATTGTAACATACTTATATTCTTATTATTAAATCAAAATTTCTCACTTATTTGCATAAAAAATGAATAAATATTAAATATTCTAACGTTAGACATAAGCGCAAATTAGTGCACCTATATAAGACTTGCAACTTTGTCGTAAAATAAAATGTGAAAACTATAGTACAAGATAGCGCAAATATTTTCAGATTTTTCAAAAATTTCAAATAATCAAAATTTTACGTATGGAGCAGGTAACAATTATAGGAAATGGCTACCAGCGGATGGTGGTTGGGGTTGGCACGTCGCAAGTACTACATGCGAATGGGTTCTCGCAATCGTCTATTGCACGTTTCTTCTTACCTTCGTTTCAGAATTTCGATTAATTAACTTTGAAGTCCCCGTTGTTACGGTACTTTGATTTTTTACCACTATTTTTTACCATTTTTAAAGTAGTGATCACTTTATGTTCAAGAAATTACATTTAATTAAAATATCGATTTTACGTTTATTAAATTCTTTCTTATAAATCATAAACTTTTATTATACAAAGTGTTTATTATTGTATGTCCTTTTCTGTCAGTTGTACGAATTTTTTGATAAATTTTTCTTTACTATAAATGTAATGATATACTGTTTTTGTCAATATACTTTTTTAATATTTGCATTAAGTATTAACTTCTATAAGAAATTTTAACTGAAATTGAACTGAAATCGAATTAAATTAAGAAATGTATATAAATTCTGTTATTTGACTATTAATATAAACAGGGTGTTCAGCGTAACGGTCCGCACGATTTTCAAGACACTTTCGGTAGTTAAAAAAAAAATACAAAGGGGGATTTTTTCTGCTTCACGCAGGTTACAACATGCAATAAATAAAAATTGAAAAAAAAATTTTTTAAATAAAAAAGCCTGCGTGAAGCAGAAAAAGATCCCCCTTTGTATTTTTTTTTAAACTATCGAAAGTGTCGACTTAAAAATCATGCGGACCGTTACGCTGAACACTGTATATACCTATATATTAATTTAAAAATTTTAATTCTTAAAAAATTATTTAATTAGAAATATTTTTTATTAAAAAATATTAGTAATTTTGACATTTACATAAAAAAAATTGGATTCATTAAAGTTTCTATACTCTAAAGAAAATACAATAATGATGAAGTACCTTGCATATGTTTTTTCTTCTTTTTATTCATTGCTATACGAAGTAATAATTCTAACAATAAGTAAATAACAAAATTTATGAAAGTTTTCACGTTATTATTATATGTTTATAATTTTATTTTAGCTAATATATTTGGATAAAATCAAGAACACAGCAGCCTCAGACAAAGCGGAAGCAGGCACACCACAAGACACGTAAATTTTTTGCTACACCGATCTGTGTGTGTTTGTGTGTGTAGATCGGAAGAGCACACG